AAACTTATACATAGAAAGCCTCTAAACTTGCCTGCAGTGACATGGAAGTACATGCTGAAATCATTTGAATATGAGAGCATCACGTCCAGGCCCAACACCAATGTAGTGAATAGGAACGCCGACGAGTTCTTCTATCCTTTCCACATACAACTGTGCAGCTCTTGGAAGGTCGGAGTAGTTTCTAATTGAAGAAATGTCGGTCTTCCATCCAGGAAGAGTTTCATATTCCACCTACAACATGGAAGCATACAGCCATTAGAAAGTAAATTAAAAAATCCCAAAAAATTTTAACAATTGAATAACCTTTGTTGTTTATATGTTAATAAAATGCATACAAATATTCAGGTATATTATCCAGGATTTGAGCAAAAACATTGGAATGAAGTGGAAGGGAAAATAACAATATTTACCTTCAATTGCTCGAGAAGACGAAGATCTGACGGGAATGATTTGACCTGGGTGCCATCAGCATTTTTATAGGAAACACCCAATTGTATTTCATCAAGATCAGACAAAACATCCAGCTTGGTCAGATTCAATGATGAAAAACCATTGATCTGACATGAGTATCTTAAGGCAACTATATCCAACCAACCACATCGTCGAGGACGGCCAGTAGTTGTGCCAAACTCCTGCCCAGCAAATCTGAGGAGATCACCTCCTGGGCCCAAAATTTCAGTTGGAAAAGGACCAGAACCAACTCTTGTAGTGTATGCTTTCACCTGCACATCCAAAATAAATTTATGAACCATTCTGCAAGTGTTAAATATATTTAAACTGTTGACATCATCAATGTTGGGGAGAGAAACACTCGAAGTTCCTGAGCTAATAGTAAATTAGGCAATAAACACTTACCACTCCTACTAAATCACCAATTATTCTTGGAGCAATACCAAGACCGGTGCATATACCACCTGCTGATGGGCTAGAAGAAGTAACAAAGGGATAAGTACCAAAATCAATGTCCAACATGGTTGCTTGTCCTCCTTCAACCAAGATCTTCTTCTTTTGTGTTATAGCTTCATTCATAACATGCACGGTATCGGCGATATATGGTTCCAACCTTTCGGCATACCTCTTGTACTTCTCAACTTCTTCTCTGAGCACGTCCGGACCATACTTAAAATCTTTGAACCTCAATGCTGCATCTGATAACAAAAGATCAAGCTTCTGAGGTAAAGTTTCCATGTACCGCAAATCACCAACTCTAATCCCATTGCGGTTGGCTTTGCTGGAGTAGCACGGCCCAATGCCTCTCTTGGTGGTGCCAATGAAAGACTTAGATAGCTCAGCTTCCCTCAACCCATCCACAGTTTGGTGGAAATCAAACAACAGGTGGGCCCGATCCGAAATCAATATCCTTCCCTTGCATGAGACCCCATTTGACTCAAGGTTGTCAATTTCTTCAAACAACCCCGGCAGGTGTACTACAACACCATTACCAATAACACACAGTGTATCTTCATTAAGGATACCAGAAGGAACGAGATGAAGGGCAAACTTTTTCCCCTCCGCGTTATAAATGGTATGTCCAGCATTAGCTCCACCCTATTAAAATAATTAACCATAAATCATTAGTAGAAAATAACATAATAAAAAAATGATGGGCCAAGGAGGACGGAATTGATCAAAAATCATCCACCAACACCGAGCAAAATTAAATCTTGCCAAAATCGTCCACCTTACAGTGATCAATTACATGAAAGAAAATGTTCATTAGCCCACCAAGTACCAACCACTAAGAACTAGTTAAGAAAAGATTTTAATAAACAATTGCAAAAAACAGTAAGAGTGGATAATACATCTGATAAGTGTATGTTTGTTTTCAAATTTGGAGCATTCAGAATTGATTCTGAGTGTGGAGAATTGATTTTGACATTTTTGGTTACTTTCCGGTAGAAATGATTATGCTTTTCATAATTGATTCTACTTAAAGATAGGATTTGAACACTGAGATTACTTGTTCAACTCACTTTTATCCTGAATCAATTTTACATAATCAATTCCCTCAAAATCAATTTTTTTTCACCGCAGAACCAAACACACACTAAATTAAACATCTTCAGCAGCACTTGGAGTTCTCTCATCTAGTTTCCATAATAATTTACAAACTGATAAACCTAAAACTTGTCACTGGAAAAAAAAATCATAAACTATTCCAAATATCTTACTTATGCATGTGAATGTATTAATTTAATTATCACAAATATGGTATCAAACAACAAGAAAAAACCAATTCACTCAATCACAGAGTAAAGCACAACTAATCAACCCTAAGACAAAACTACCATCATCAATATATCATAATATATAGCAATTTCACTGAAACCAAGCATTACCCACGATTTGCAGCATAGAAACTAGGGTTAAAAAGGGGAAAAGGAAAGAACTTTAGAGAGAAAAAGGAAAAAGTAACAAAACCTGACAACGAGCAACGATTTCAAAGTGCTGAGCTAAGATATCGACTAGCTTCCCCTTCCCCTCATCACCCCATTGACAACCGAGAACACCGGAGACCTGGCTGAGCGACTCGATACGGCCGGCGGTAGAACCAGCGGCGGTGAGTTTAGTGGGAGGCGGCGCAATTGGCTTTGCGGAACAAACGACTACGTTTCGGGTGGAAGGATAGCGTTTGAAGGTGAAGAGACGTTGGGATTGAGGAGTGGATATTGCGTGAGAATCCAGGCGCAGTGACGACATGCTCATTGTTGAAGCACTGAAGAGAAACAGCAACAGCGCAAAGACACGGTGAATAGAAGGAGATGCGCGTCGAAGAAACGCTTCAAAAAGGGTTTAATGTTCCACAAGGAATAGACCAAATAGTCCTTCAAATTGTAATCAAATCAAAATTGTTCTCCGTTGGCAACTACATCTCCTAAGGTGTAATATATCATTTAAATTACTAGTTTTTTTCTAAAAAAAACTTTTTTGTTAAGAGGTTATAATGTGCCATATTAATTTGATATGTCACATTGCAATTTGATCTCCTACAAATGTTAGTTTACTAATATTAGGGGGGTGACAATAGTGTGAATTTTTTTTTCATTTTTCACCATCAAATATGTGGTAAATTTTGTTTAACAAACAGAATTAAAACAAAAGTTGTTGAAACAATATTTTTATGTATCTAAATTATATTTTTACATAATTTAATTGTGTCTTCTTCTATTTATGTTGATCTATATCGTCATCGTCAACATCTCTAGTGAGTATTGTCATTGCCACCACACTCATTGTTGTTTTTCGTCCACGTCATCAATCGTTGTTATTATCATTGTCACTGTCAACATCTCTAGTAAGCATTGTCATTGTCACCACACTCTTTATTGTTTATCGTCGGCATCGTCAATCGTTGTTATTGTCTCTCAATATCATTGTCACCACCACACTCATTATTGATCGTCGTCATCTCCATTAATCGTAGTCATTGCTGCTCATCGTTATCGTCAACGCCATCACACTCATTGTTGATCGTCGTTGTTGTCGTCAATCGTAATCATTGTCGCTCACTATTATCACCACTGCATTCATTGTTAATTGTCGTCATCGTCAATCATTGTCATTGTCACACTTTACTTTCTCCTATTTTTATTAAGATTGTTCTCTATTTTGTGTTGACAAATAGCTATCTTTATTAATTTGTTATAAGCATGTTGTCATCTTTTTTTTTTTTAAGAAAGTCGTGAAAATTGTTTTTCTTATAATTAAACTCTACTTTATACAATTGGAAACTAAGAAACTAGACTTTGTGCTTATGTTATATTAAATATATTGTTGTAAATATAATATTAAATATACTAATAAATTATTTTATTCATTTGTCCTATTTCTTTATTTAGGAGTATGATAAGAAAATACCATTTTCAAATATTGATTGAAAGTCAATGTTCGGTACGAAATTTGATTTTTTAGAGGTAGCTTATTAATTTTGGCTCGTATATGGTATATGGACTTTAGTGTTAGTAAGCATTATGTGAGCAAGAATAAAAAAGTGGATCTATATCATTGTGTAGGTTTGTTTGGTGCAAGGGAGGACTATGAAAAGTAGACAAAAGAGATGTTTTTGTTAGAAATCATAAAGTCGAGACCAGAACGGATTACAAAGCAAGGATTTCTATTACATTGAAGAATGAAATTTTTGTCATACATGAATTTTTATCAAAAAATAATCGCCCTTTGCAGCTATCAGAGACAACACACATGCTAGCATCACATAGAAAGATAATTGAAGTCCAAGCATATGAAATTGGTTTAGTTAATGACTCAAAATTAAAATATAAACAAACTTTTTCAACTTAAGAACACACATGCAGAGCATAGTTCTAATATTGGATATACGCATGTTTGTATAGAAAATTATCCTAATGCAAGAAGGCAAAGAAGTGTGGTGTATGGCGAGGCAGGATATCTTTTCCAATAGTTTCAACAACAATTGTTAGAAAATCCATCATTCTTTCATGCATACTAGATGGATATAGAAGAACTAATCACAAATGTGTTTTGGTGTGATGCAAATTATTGGTATTTTGGTGACGTTATGTCATTAGACACAACATATTATATCAATCATGCAAATAGACCACTTACTCAATTTTTGTTTTGTTTTAGCCACTGTAGAGGTTCAATCACTTTTGGTGTAGCATTATTGTATGATGAGACAATTGGGTCCTTTAAATGGTTGTTTGATACATTTTTACAAGCACATAACGACAAAAATCAAAGATTATGTTTCTTGACCAAAATCAGGCGATATTTACAGCACTTGCTGAATTGATGCATGAGACCCATCATAATTTATGCTCCTCGCACCTGTTGCAAAATGGAATCAAACACCTTGGAAACTTGACGATGGGTGGAATTTATTTTTAAGAGACTTAAATAAATGCATGTATTAATATGATATTGAAGCGAAATTTGAGGCATCTTGGACCAATTTAGTGAACAATTATAACGTTCATGAAAAAAAGTGGATCAAATCCGTTTATCTATTAAAACAAAATGGGCATTGTGAAACATGAAGAAAAAAATCCACATTTGGCATGTGAAGTACCCAAGTTTGTAAAAGTATTAATGCTCACTTCAAATCTTGTATGAAATCGAATATGAATATCATTCAATTTTTCAAACATTTTGAGCGAGTTATTGAGGAGAAGAGAGGAAATGAGTCAAGTTGTGATTATGAATCCTCAAATAAGCTTTCACGGTTAAAATATGAGATGTATCCAATACTAATACAAATAGGAAAAGTATATACACACACGCACACACATTGAATATTTTGTTAGAACAAGATTTGTCCATGACATATATCCTTTGGATTTTTATGGTAACAAGGTATTGAAAGAATAATGGTGTTATCTAATGTGTGTTCCAAGTATGCATGTTCTAAAGCTTAAAGAGAATGCATTCAGAACCTGATATAAGGACGCATTTGAGAGGAGCCGAGTTACTAGCCTCTAGTGGATCAGAATTTGAAAAATACTTTCTAAGTGATGTCTGACGTGGACTTTGAAACTGAAGGCCTCAACATCAGAATAGCAACATATTGACTCTACACTAAGTTAATGTATCAACTTCTGATGAACATTCAGAGTTAATAATAAAGCTTAAGTTATATGTACCGTAGAAAGCAAGTTGCATTGTCCAATCAACTTGTCAGCTAGAGTCTATGTTCACAAGGCTCAAGAAGAGTTGACATGCTTTACGGATATGTACTCTTAATGAATCTATATTACAAGATTACTTGGAAGACAGAATGGTTAAACATGTTATACAATGGATTAAGATCTTTTGGTGTATCTATCTTCAATGTCTCTTGTACTATGGAAAAACAAAGACATTTGTTCAAGTTATCTCTTCCAACGGCTAGTTTTCTACAACTGTTATATAAGTAGTTGAAGATTCAACTTGAATTTTCAACAAGGAACAAGGAACAAGGAGAAAATAGAGAAGGAAATCCGAGAAGGATAGAAGTGTTTTACACTTCTATCTGGATGGAGGAATAACAAGATCAACAATAAGCAACACAATCGAGTATGCAAAAATTATGTTATTTGTTGTAAATTGTACAAAGCCTTAAGATTTCTTAAACATTGGATATCTTAGAAATCTTAAGTGTTTAAGGTCTTTGTTATGGTGATTACCTTGTACTTATGATTATGTATCAAGTACATCTTGTTCTCTATTCTGCTAAACATGTTGTTAAGTAGTTTAGGTAAAGTCTCTTGCTATGAGCTTGAGCATTAAAGTCTCTTTTTGAAAAGCTTGAGCTAAGTAAGTCTCATGTTATGTGCTAGAGCATTAAAAGCCTTGATCAGTTGTTGATTGAGTGTTAGGATGTAGATTAAGGGGGGGGGGGGTTGTTATCGTCTCCACACGGATTATCTGATATCTTCATGTTTGCCTTTCAATAGTCTACAATTCTAAGAAAAAGATTTTCAAAATTTGGTTCATAAATTGTCACGATTTTTAGTAGCAAATCTGATAAATTCTAAAGTGTTTGATTAACAAAATATATCAAAATTAGTTTTCATCTACCCTAACTTATACATATTCTTTCAATCTTGCATGTGAAGTCAGATCTGGTTAATATCATCGCGTATTCTCTCAACACCGTCAATCTCTAGAGCGGCGTCGTGAGAAATATTGTATTCATCGCTACACGATATCTCCATATAACAACCAATATAGTAAGCTTTAAGTTTAATACAAAGTGAATATCAACCATAGACCGATCTCTCCAATCTATAAATTGAAAGATGAATATTTTAGGTCAAGTTCCATAAAATCTATATCTAGAGTTTTACAAAACAAGAATGGATCATTAAGAACAAAAATATTCATCATATATTAATTATCACTTGTTCACATACAAAGCCAATCAAAAGAAATACATAAAGTTAAGGTAAATTATCTCTACCTTTGATACAAAATAAATTAGCTGCCCATAACCATGGTAGCTTGCTTTATAAGTAAAGAGAGAAGATGAATGAGCATCCACGTCGAAGAATTAAACTCGGATGCGAATCCAGCTTCTATTTGCAAAATCTCCCTTTTTGGTGAAGAAATGCTGAAAATATAAGTCTTTATGTGAAAAATGGGTTATGATCCCCAAAAAGTGTGAAAAGTACTTATATAGTACAACTAGAATCTGTCAAGTTCGCCCATCAAACTCATTCATCGCCTAGAGAACTCTACTTTATGGCACCTGAAGTGCCCCTAAATAATTAAACCACCCCTGAGGAAATACCTGAGTTCACCTAGCAAACTATTCTTTACCCTGCGAGCTATTTCGCTACAAGTTCGCACAGTGAACTTATGGCCCTTTAGTTACAGCCTCAAAATTGGGATGGTTCGTTGGTCCTTCGCTGAAACCTCACCTAGCGAACATTCACTTCCAGTTCTCCCAGCAAACTTCTAATCCTTTTCTTTCTGCCACTGATTTGAGAGAGTTCGATGGGGCTTCGCCAGTTGTTTGTCCAACAAACATTCGTTATTGATCCTTGTTGGTTGTTCGCTTAGTGAACATGCTTAAACTTCACATTTTCTTTGGCCTCCTTGTCAAATTACTTGTGTCTTACTTCTTTGATAGGTTATGCCTACATATTTGGCATTCAACAAACTCTCCCCAACTAGATCTTTGCCTATCCTCAAGTAAAGTATGCCTCTCATTGAAAACAAGAGGACTTGCCCAAGCATTTAATTCA